TTGGATCCATTTCGGTTCTTTAAAAAGTAAAATAGCAGAAAATGTAGATGAACTGTATTCTGACCACTAGGTGGGGAAATGATACAAGTTAAAATACATATAACTTTGGCCTCACCTACTTAATTTTCAGTTATTTATGATTTTCTGATTCTTAGCAGCCTTCAGTCTTTTACACGTTCAAGATATTCTAACCCACATGACATAATACAGTTTCTTCTGGGAACAGCTTCAGAAGCGGCAGAACAGGCTGCAGGGGATAGATAGAGGCCTCCTATCTCTTGCAATTCCTGCCTTGATCCCAGTTAGAGATTCTACTGTACACCCCAGGGAGAACTATAACCTTATCAGTCATTTGGTTTTGGGGAAAGCCAGTCCCTCCTTAGGTTGAAGTTACTTTAGTCTTTGATTCTAGGAATTCTTCCCCCGCTACATTATCATGTTTTCCTCTTTACTGGATCTTTCCCGTCAGCATACAAAATTGCTACTATTTCTACATTTAAGAAAATGCTCTTGATTCAGGTTCTCCCACCAATTATTGTCCCATTCTTTGATTTTCTTTTCTCCTTAAAGAGCTATCTCTATGGGCTCTTTCCAGTTCCTCCCATATCCTCCTCTTTTAAAGCTACTTGGTCAGACTTGCAAGCCCCACCCACCTGCCATGTCATTCCTTGACCTTCCCACCCTCCCTTGTTGGGCCTTCAGTAGCCTCTGAAACGCTGGCTCGCAGCCTCCTCCCAAGGTGCTCCCTTTACTTGGCTTCCAGGGCACCTACTATTTTGGTTCTTCCCTTTTCCTCTCCTTTGCCCCTTCTTTTCCCAGGCCTCCTGGAGTTGGAGTGCCAAGGTCTTACTTCTTGTTTTTGCTCTTTACCCTCTTTCCTTATCTTAACCAACCTCATGACTCTAAGTGTAGAAGATGTTCCCGGGCCTCTCAAATCTGTATCTTTAACCCAGGACTTTCTCTGAAACTCACCACTTGTTAGACCCAGTTACCTCCTCAACGTTTCCACTTGAATCTTGAGCGATGACCTTAAACTTCACATAACCATGATCTCCTATCTTCCCTGCCCCCAAACCTGTTCCCCTGCAGCCTTCCCATTTCAGTTCATCCTTACGGTTGCTCAGGCCAAAAACCTTGGAATCCTTCTTGATCCTGCATTTTTATTTTCATACCCCAACCTAAATTCTGTTGTTTTTACCTTCAAAATACATCCAGAGTCTGGATATCTCTCACCACTGCCTCCACCGCTGCTGTCCTGACTGGAGTCACCTCCATATCTTGCCTGAGCTTTTGCAGTATTTGTCTAATTGGTTTCACTGCTTTGACATCTCCCCACCCATTGTCTCTTCTGAGCACAAGGTGATATGGTGATATTGAAGGTGACATTGATAAAACATGGTCACTGCTCTGCTCACGCCCCAGGGTTTCATTTCACTCTATCTCTATCCAAGACCCTACGCGAGCTAACTCTTTTCCTAATACTCCTTCCCTCGCTCTCTCTGCTCCAGGTGGTTACCTCCTCCCTAGTCCTTGAACATCTTAGGCCTTTTTCCAGCTGCTCTCTCTGCCTTGAAGAGTCTCTCCCCAGAAGGTGTCATGACTGACTCCCCTTCTTCCTGGCATCTTTGTTTCTCTAGCTGCTTCCCTTCTCCGTTTAAAGTTGCAGTTGCTGTCCCCAACACCTTTCACACTCTACCACCTAACCCTGCTTCATTTTCTCCCACAGCACTTGACACTTCCTGTTACAGTAATCTGTTGTTACCTGTTTATGAYTTTTGTTCCTTTTTCTCTTCCCCTGTGCTTTATAAAGGGAGAGCTACTTGCTTTGTCCACTGATGGTTTCGGATTCCAAAACCACAATGGAGTGACTAGAAAAAAAGTATTCGTCAAATGAATGTTAAAAAAACAAAAATAAACAAACAAAAAAACTATCCAATCTTCACTTGATAGTGACCTTTGATTAGAAAGGGAGGAACATTTACAGGCTGGCAGGGTACTTGGGGACTCATGCACACATTTGGAAGGGTGACAGGAGGCCCAGAATCACCCATACCTTCCACATTTCTACTTTACCCATAAATTTCCCCTTCATGTGAATTATAAGCTTTTGAGCCGGAATATTGAGACCCATTTTGGTTTCGTTTTCTCTATGTATTTATCTAGCTTCCCCTTCCTTGGGGGATTTTTCTAAACTCAGATATTTCCTCATTGTGGAATTTACTTGAGCTGCCTAATGACAGCTTAACATTTTTGACATTTTTTTTCTTTTGAAAAGAACATTATCTTATAGGTGTCTTTAGCTTTCACATCTTCTCTTTTCTCCATATTATAATTCACTTTCAGAGACTCCAAATACAGATTGTCCAGGCAAAGGAACATCTAAATCTCTTTTTTCTCTCCATTTTTGTTCAAAGAGGATGCATTTTGAGAAGTTGGCAACTGTCAGATGAATCACATTCTAACAGGAGTCCTTAATAAGATAGAAATTAAAATAAGGTCAAGTTTACTATTATTAGTGTATTTGCTAATCTCTGATGAAAACAATATTATGGGTAAGAATCTGAGCCTGGCCGACTGGCAGGCCCTTCTCAACTTTCCTTTATTTGTCAGAATTTCTCTCAAAGCAGAAAAATTGACCAGAATCCTAAAGAAATAATAGCCCATGTTATAAGACGTTTGGAAATCTTTCTTTCTCCCACAGCTTATTTCTTATCATGATGTATTCTAGGGAGTAGGTTTGCAGAGAAGAGTCACTATAGCAGGCCTGGATTTGCTATATTTTAGGACAGTCTGCTACCAAGGTTTTCCCAAAGTTCACATATGGGAGCTCAGCTTCTACAGAGTCCTGTACACTGATCTGAAGAGTTGTCTAATGGGGACGAATGCTTTCCTGCATGTAGACTACGGAAATAATGAGACTTGTAGTGAACACCTGCTTTCCTTCTAGGATTCTGCTATTTTGGTGGTTGCTTTGTAGAAAGTGCTTATGTAATCAGCCCCAAGTAGAAACTTCGGGAACCAACTCTAGTGGGCTTCCCTGGGAAGCACTATGAGATGGGCATTGCAGTTGCATAGCTGGAGCAAGGAGTGTTCTTACTGTGGCCCTCCCAGGCCTGCAAGGAGAGAACTTTGAAAGCCTGTGCTTGGATACTTCCAGATGATGCCTCTGTCTTCCCTTCTTTACAGCAAAGAAATCTCAGTGCTACTGTAGGTTGAGTTCTGCAAGCCTTTTCAGTGAATTACCAAAATATATGGGTGGTTTGAGGGACTCCTGAAATAGTAGGAATAGTGTTACATGATCTTCCTCAATTTTTCCTTAATTTCTTCAATCAAATAATTACCAGGGTCCATGCCTTATTAATTTTCAGGAAGTCATGCTCACATCACTTATTAAAATTCCTCACTAGATTTACACTACATTCAGAAATCTTACTGAAGCCAGAAGCTGCGACAGGGTCGCACAATAAAATCCAGAGTAACTAAAATGGGTAACTAAATGGGTTAAACTTGTGAATAGAAAAAAAATGAGGAAAAATAAACATGGTTTTATATATATATATATTTTATATATATATATATATATACACACACACACACACACACACACACACATATATATATATGAAAGGAAAATAATTTATGTAGAAATCAGGTATATATAAGAACATGTGTTGACTGTTATTTTTGTTAAACTAATATTTATTTAACCTTTACATGTTAGTAGGCAGATATCTTATACTCTTATTTGTTAGCTAGATCTCAGTGGGTAGTAGCATATTTAAATTAGCATTCATAAACAAATGCCCAGGTGTACAGTTAAAGTAAAAATGTAAAGCAGGCCATAGATAAGACAATAATTACCATGCTGCTCCAACATCTTTACTTACTACTATCTTTAAACCTCTATAAAGCACACTAAGGTGAAAAATAGCAGTGGCTACCCATAACAAATATGTTTTTAATACTGGCTCAACTGGTACCATGAAGCATCAAAGAAAAACTTTCAATCTGATACTATCATTAGCCATGTCTATCACATGGATTGTGGGGAGCAAATTATTTCACTGTAAATTCTATCAATCTGGTAAGAATATTGAGGTAAAGGAAAACTGTGTATGTGGGACATTACTTATTTGCGGCAAATAACATGAAACAACTTTCTAGAAGAGAAAAGGAAAGATATAGCATGTTTTACTATATACGATGAGCTTGCCTTTGATGTTTTAAATTTCTTTTTTCAAACAACATTTCATTCTGTTCCAAGCTTTCACTTGTTTTTTCCTCAATCAGTGACTGGTAAATTAYAGGTACAGAGCTCAGGCATAACAACCCATAGAGTTAACACTTCTRAACTGTCTAAATGCAAGTAGAAGAGAAGTTTTCAAGGTTTTAAACACTCTACCAAAAATTCTGAAAGATGAGAAAAAACCTCATTAAAAATTTTAATAGAAGTTAATTATCTTAGTGGTTTAAACATACATTTACTTTGTCCTCAGACTGACAGTGRTTCAAATTTCTACTATTTCTATTCATGTAATCTTGGAGAAGTTACTTGGCCCTCATCTATGAACTGATAATACCACCAGCTTGATACAGTTGTAGAAATTACTTGTGTAAAAAAGCTAGGACATCATAAGCTATCATAAAAGATGGTGTTCATGGTGGTGATGATTATAGTGGCTGAGATGGTGGTGTTAGAGGAGATGGTGGTGGTATGCTGATCTCAGAAAGCTTCAGAAMTTGCTAAAGGCAGTAGAAAGTTTCTTCAAATGAATTTTTAAGGGGAAACTCAACAAGAGACAGAAAAAACAAGAGCTGCTCAGTCTTAAAAGGGCATGGATGTATGAGAGCTACCTGCTCAGCAAGCTCTTCTTTCTGCCCCTGGCCCACCCATGCTACCCCCAAATTTTAACATGGAGCCCTTAGCTCTCAGCCAAGCATACTTTGAAAACCTATGGCAAGACATTGGTGAAGAAATGGCAAGATTATCTTTTGCTTACTTGAGGTCAAAGGAAGGTTTAATATTTCTGGGAGGTAGGTTTGGGACTGGTGGCTGTGCTGGGTGAGATGCTGGCAATGGTGGTTGGCTGGCTGGATGGGATGGTGGAGTTGGTGGCAGGGTAGTTGTTGAGTAAGACGGCTGACCTTTGCTGGTACCTAGAAAGCAAAGAATACAATATCATGAGTTAAGACAAATATTTAAAATATTTAAAAACTGGCCATTATTCCAAGTACGCAGAAATGAGAATCTTGAATATAGCCATGTCAGAAATGCATCCCAAGTTGAATGAGTGTTTTAAAGAACCTAATATTTTAATGGGACATGACATTTTAGATGTTATATTTCAAAAGAAAATTTCTTAGAATCAATTCCCACTATTCGAAAAATTTCTCTTATCTTTTCTGAACTTATTTGGATATATTTTTTTGTGTGTGTGTGATTTTGTTTTGGATTTTGTGAACAACTCTGCATCAATTTTATACCACATTTTTCATGATGTTGCAAATACAGGTTATTTTTCATTATTTTAGACCAAAGAGATTTATTTTTGGATCTTCTCTCTTAGGTAATACATTTTTGTTTTTGACAACCTCTTTAATAAGTTATGTTGTGCTTTAGGAGTAGTTTTTAAACATTAAGATCTATTAAATCATCTCACAAGTAAGTCATGTACGTTATATAAGTTATAATGTAAACATTAACAAAATTAAATAGATGTGTATCACCAAAATACCATCACCTAGCAATAACTATTGAGTTACATAAATTTTAGAATATTTTTATGAACATTTATGCTTTTCTGGGAGAGGAGCAAAATAGGAGACCRTTTTTCTATTTTACTACCAGTTTTTACTCTGTTTCCTCAATATTAGTAAGTTTCTTTCCAGGTTAATATAATCACAATGTAATTTTTAAGAATTGAACAGTTTTTCTTTACATAGACACCATGATTAAAAATATAACTCTTCTTATTCATTCATGGAAACTAAAATGTTTGTCTCATAAAAGAATGGAATAATACAGTGATCACTAGCAGCTGMAAACGGCAGAAGGGAAAGGGGAGGGAAAGAAGTGAGATCAAGCAAGCAAAACACTGTGAGAAAAGAAAGCACAGAGAGAYGAGAAATCAGTTCTGTTTTTCTCTACACAGTGCGGTAACTACTGATTACAACATTCTTATGATGTGTTTCAAAATAACTTCGAGAGTATGAAAGTTCCAAACACAGAAAAATAATTAATGTTTGAGGAGATGGAAGTACTTATTACCCTGATTTCATCCTTACACATTGTACATATGTAATGAATTATCATCCTTGTACATATAAATACATGCAAATTTTACATTTCAACTTAAAAAAAATCAACACAGGGCCCAAATATTTCATAGTTATATTATTTTTTTTCCTTTTTGCTGTAATAAAAAATTGGCTATCTTTGTACATCTCTTTAAATTTTTTTTCTTTGGACAAATTTCCATAAGTAGAAATGCATGGTCAAAGATAATTTTTAAAGTATTTGAGACAAAATATCAAGTCATTTTCCAAACAAATATCAACAGAGAGCTTCATCAGTTAGTATATGAGGGCCTGTTATGTGTCTGTCAATCGTAGCATTATCATGTTTTGAACCTTTGACAATATACTAGGGAAAATATTTTTACCTTCTTGTTTTAATTTCATTTTTTACCAAAATGGCACAGGCTCAATAACTGGCAAGTCAATGCCAAATAACATATAACAAAAACAAARTTTTGCTCTTCCTACTGGAGCTCATTTCTTTTGCATTTGTGTAACTCAACACTCTACTATTGCATGTTCTATTTGGTAGAGGTAGGTTTTCCCTCTCTTCTCCTCCTTCCAATTAGCAAGCCATTACTCTTTTTGATGAAAACTGACTTCATTGTTTTCGTTCTCATAATTTTGTAAATGTTAGTTTTTGCTGAGCCAAAGAGAATACTATGATTCCATTTTTTTTTCTCATTCAACTTACTGTTTTCCTGGAATTAATAATTSCCTCATTTTTATCAATTTCAAGGGTTTCCTTTGGCATTCTTCCCATAATTCTCAATGGTCCTGTAAAGTGCCTCAGAATCATGTTTTGCAGAATTAAACCTGTCAGGTAATTTATCAGTTCCAGTGCATTGTCCCTGTCCACTTGCTGTAATCTGACCTGGTTGCTTTTAAGTTCTACAGCAGAGCACTCACCCTAGAACTTCTCTTTGCCAGCATCATGGCTCTGCTGTACCAAGAGAAAGAGCTGCAATGAACACTGTGGAGCCAGAGTACCTGAGTTTRAACTGAGTCCACTACTTATTTTCTGGAAATAATGCCAATTATTGAGCATGTGCCATTTTGATAAAAAAACGAAGTTAAAACAAGAAGGTAAAAATATTTCCCATAGTAAAAAATGTGTCGCCTCATAGAGTTCTGTGACGACTTATGATCTAACAAATGTAAAATACATAGAACAGGTTCTTGCAGATAATAATCTCAGTGTTTCCTTTTTCATTCAATAAATRTTTAATGAAAGTCWACTGTGTGTCAAGCTGTATCTTACGTACTAGGAACACAGAAGAGATGAAACACAAAAATTATGCTTTTATGGATTTGAGGTGATAGACAACAAATAGATAAATAAAAGATGATATATATCATATACATTTTGGTGAAAAGTGCTATAATTGGTGTAAAGATTATCTAATGGTAAACTACTGGCATTTCTTTCCAACTCTTAATTCCATGACCTATGATAGACTGAACTGGTCATGGTAAGAGTGTTTATCTTGGGGAAATTGGAAACACTGCAGATCTGGACTCATCTTTGTGTTGATTGTTAAGGTTGAGTACGTGATGGAGAAAATGCTGACAATGCAGATTAGATTTAAGTGTGTCATTTCTGTAGTGATTACATTGGGAATAGTATAAAAATTGGGCAAGAATTTGGCAAAAATATTTACAGCTGATAGGTATTATCCCAGAGCACATATTACTGACAAATGAGTGAAGTTTTGATATATATATTTTTATTATCTCAAATTTGTTCACTTGTTAATATAAATGAAAATATCAATCAGCATTCAGGTTGGAGCTACACTCATTTATTAGTTGCAAGCACAGATTAGCTACCAGATATAAGAATTGGGTATATGGAATTTTTAACAAAGAATGTTGCTTATTTTATTGTTATTTGATAATAATCGCTATACATTCTTACAGCAGTAACATTTATTACACCTATGTATACATACATCTCTCTCTCTCTCTCTCTCTCTCTCTCTCTCTCTCTCACACACACACACACACACACACATACACACACAGTTTTTTCTGATAATGTGTTGTTAAATATTTGCCAGTGTACCTTTGCTGGCACCTACAAATTCCTAGGTTCTATTGGCTAAACAGTGAGTAGAATTACTTTTATTTTCTCTTTTGCTTTGATCCTCTTTCTCTTTGTTTTTCCTCCATTCACTTTCTGATTTCTTTGGCTTTAAAATTATGCATGTTTTCTAGTTTCCCTAAATATGGACTTTGTTTCTTTTAGCTTCCTTGTTTTGGGGTGATTTTTTTTTTCCGAGAAAAAAAGTAGTGCTATCTTAAAAAAATTTGTTTTAATTTTACATGCCTTTGAGCACTAATGTATTTTCTCCATGTTTCTAACCACGTTTCTTTTAAAATACATTATCTATTTAAATCATGTGCCTATATTTTAAATAGCATTTCCCTTTCCTTAGTGGTTCATAAACTCTCCTTTCTAAGGGTATTAATCTTTTTCTCATATGGATGAACAGAATACAATCTGGATGTTTTGTTTCCTGTTTTTGCCTGYTCATACATTAAGAAAAATAATAACCAATAAAAACTCTCTTAAAAGTCTTTGAAGAGAAAATAGGGATCTACCAGTTGGAATATATATAAGGSACATTCTCAAATTGCTTATTACCTGAGGATGCACTTGTATCCTAAAAATCCTATGGGACCKCTGTTGCATATGTRGTTTGTTGTTTARTGAAATGTCATTATGCAGCWCATGAYTGTRCTTAATTATTTGAAATGCTTCTTTTTTTCATAGAGTAAGCATCAAAAGTTTTAGTAAATTTGACAGAAAGAAGGCATCTCATTATTGTATTTTATAAATAATGTGGTTCAGTAGATTTAAGAAGAACACAAGCCTGCATGAGTGGATGTTAATAAGTTATTTTCCAAATGAAAGAAAAATGTTTATTAGCCATCTGTGACCTACCTTTTCATGGAAAAGATTATGACAAGCAGGAGGGGTCACAATATGAGAGCACACTGGGACCTGGAGGTGAGAAGTTATAGACTTAGTTTGGAGAATGGTGAGTYTTTTGAACTGGCAACATTGGAAGTGCACTTACATGGAAACCTGTGGACTTTTCTGCCTTTACACAGGCTTATGAGATTTCTTGATGAGGCATCTGTGGTGAACCCTTGCTGTTCTGCTTATCTGGATCTATTCTCCTTGCCTTGGTTATGGTGATCTGAGCAACCCAGGAAAGGGTGTGATGACTTTTCTATTGGACTTGGAATAAAAAGGTAGTTTTTGATTGTTGGCAGCCATCTTGCTACCACGAGGATGGGGCTTTCCTGAAAGTGGAGTGAAGTCAGAAGAAGGCAGGACTCAGAGATGAAGAGGGACTGGTGGGATTGGGAATACAAGCTATCTTTGAAATTTTTTAATGATAATCTAAAAGACTTCATGAGACACGGAGCTAACTGTTTAAGTGTCCTGTTCCTCATCAAGTTTGAGTGAACACATGTTAAAGTCTTCYTGTGTTATACTGGTATGTACCACTGAAACATTTTGCTTTGCAAAATCTCTGGTCACTTTCAAATTCTACCAGGAATAAATTTGCATGTATACAAAATAATTCTAAGGAAAAGCATCTGAGTTTCTGGAGGAAAAAAATCTCCACATAGATAGACTTATCCTAAAGTAAAGTGATTAACTATAAAATCTTCATGTGTACTTTATAATTCTTAATAAAACACAGTCCAAATTTGTGYACAATGTGTCAAAATGTGTTCTGTCTTCTATGACTAATTAGAACAAAATAAAAAATAAAAAAAACACAATTAATAAAATAAAGATTCTCAAAAATTAAAATGTGTTTTTTTTTCACATGAAAGGAAGA